TGAACGCACAGCATTTTATTAGAAAGCAATATTCCAATTTTTGTTTGAGATATGAAATTTATACTGAGTCCGGGTAAATGATTTTGTGGATGCTAGGCCCCAAGAACTAATTCACTCGTTTTTCCCCAAACCCACACTTTGACAAAGTGAAACTAGATGTTTTCGTTTCCTAAATTCTTTCCGAGTTTTTCAATAGCAATAAAAAGTAATTATAAATGAAGAATCGTGTTAAAACGAAACAATACTGAAGCACCCTATCACAGCCGATATATCGGCGATACGTCAGGAAAGAGATAAAGATTACACGGGGTCAGGTAGTTGGCCCTTTGCCAACAGTCAGTTTTTGACAGACCAGACCTACGCACCTTTAGTCAGCTCTTACAACACAGTATCACGGCAGATGCTATTCATTGCATTCCCATGGTAAAACTACTGGTAAAACTACTTGCAGGGGCATCGGTAGCTTAGTGGTTAAGCTCTCAGACTCACAACTGTAAGGTTGAGGGTTCAAATCCCGTCAGGGGCCCGACATTGCATCCTTCAGAAAGGCACTTTTCACGAATTTTCCTCACTCCACCTAGGTGGGAATGGGTACCCAGCTATAGACAGTAAAAGATCTTGTCAGTTTGTTAGATTTTAAGCGCTTAATCAGCTGCTTGCACTGGGAGCCTACCGGGAAGCTGAGAATGTTTCCGAGCGTTCTATGGTCCGCTGGGGTAATAATACCATGTGTAACACGCATAGAGCTTGTTGTTGAGCGGGGATATGCATCATACAAATGCTATTTATTATTATTAAAGACACCTTGGCATTTGAAAGTTCAAGGAGACATGGTTTGTCCATACAATATAATGTCTTCTTAAGTGTCCCAAAAATTGCAATTGTCTCTTCCTTAATGTCTTTATAAGTGGGTGACTCACATAAGCTTCATTTAGTTGTACCTCATTTAATTCCTGTACCTTTTAAGAAATTCTCAGCAGTCTCCAAGTTGCTTATATTTTATTTTAACTGTTTTTAGTGACAGTCCAGCAGTTACAGCCAGCCATATAGAAGAGTTGGCCAAACACAGTCTTTTAGAATTTTCTTTTCGGTAGTCATCAAGATATTTCTAATTTTCCATGTACTAGGATTAAAGACAGACTTAAAAAAAAAAAAAAAAACACCCACTAAAAAACCCCAAAGCAAACGGGACTAAGTACCTGGCACATCTCTCTGACTATACACAGCGTGTGTCCGGTTGATGCCAAATACAGCGTCCATGCTCTTGCTGAGGTCAAGGCCATAGTTGAACAGCAGCCCTCCCATATTGTCCGTCTGCATGTTCATGGGCCCTGCGTGCCATGCAATGAGGCCATCCCTTACAGCAGCTTTGAAATTTTCTTTCTCTGTTGCGTTTGGACACTTTTTCGAGACAGAGAAAACATACATCGGTGCATTAAATAATAATTACCTTAACGTGCGTTCCAAGCAGCACCTAGCTTAACCCTTTGAGGTCTTGCCTGCGGTACGACGATGGGGCGTAAAACTGCCCCTGTGCCTTGCCACAAGTACAGCAGTGAGCGAGACCCCATCCACAACCAGGCCCACCTCAGACAAAAAGCGTACGGAAAACAGCGCTTACTA